TCTCCTGTTGAGTTCGTAGGTGTTCAGAATGGTTTGATCCCTATCCAGCTGAATTCCTGAGACCAGATGAAATCCAGGTCTCCTACTCCTCCGCCATCTTGCTCCGCCCCCTCCCATAAGACAGTTTCTTATCATATGTGTCTTACGTATTTAACCAGAAGCAAGGAATCGATTTACAGCCAAACCAAGTGTCTGTGTCTACATTTAAATCTTTACATGGATTTATTAACTTTTAAAGTCTGCTGCCCACATGGGTCGGGATTTTGTTTGAAGAACAGTGGTTTTTTGTAACATGTAATGTTGCGTGCTCATCCTTTCCTGAGTCATTAATTAAAAGCATTTAAAACCATTAATAGGCACTTGCAGCTTTTTACTTTTCACAAAGTCAGGTTGTAAAATTTTAGTATAAATTAAAAATATCTTTTAAAAATTCTCAAGTTGATTATCTACAAAAATTTAAAGGCTTCGGTATTTACTTGAATTCATTTCTCATTACTGGGATTACATTTCAGCTTGTACTTGTTGGATGAACTAAACCAGATGAAGGAGAACGTGGTGTTTACTCAGCCATTGTCTGACTAGACTGTGGGGACATGTTCTCAGCTGGTGAACAGGCTGCTTTAGTCCTTTTGCCCTCTTGCATTTTGGGATTGCGTGGGTGTCTGCTTCGGTGACTGGGGCTCTGAAGTAGCTGCTACCCTGGTCGGATCCCTCAGGCTTTGTCCTCTCACGGCTTTGGTGAGGATGCCCTACAATGATGTGACTCAGCCTTCACAGGTCTGGCCCCCTGGTCTCTGCTGCCCTGGGCCATGGGCGACATCAGTGGATCTTCTTTGGTGAGGCGGCTCCATTCATGGCAAGGTGGGCACCACCACTTGTAGAATCTCTGTCTCATGGAGAAGAGAGTCCCCACTGCCCACGGGGTCTCCAGCTGTGGTGACGAACCCACTATTACCTGGGGAATTTCTGCCTATGGGGTCTCCACCTCTGTGGGGGAGGGCATGTCCTCAGTGATGGAAATGACACTGTTCCACCCAACTTCACCCTTGACTTCCTCTTCTCCTCTCACTCTGTTCTGACAACTCTCTTCAGACCTGAAAGCTCACATTGGGAGTTGGGGACAAAAAGTGGTCCTGAGGTCCCAGGAAAGGATGAGCCCAGAGAGACCTCAAGGGGAGGGGGGTTGGAGCAGAGGACTGTGGACCCCAGTCATTTAAGGAGGAGAAAGATGGGGAGGACTCAGGGGTCTGAGCAGGAAGGGCCAGGAGAGTGTGCTGCATGTGGGTGGAAGAATAAGGAAGACACACACAGTTGAGATGCAGAGCCACAAAGAAGCTGTCTCTCAGCATCGGTCTGCACATCACAGCATCTAGTTCCCTGTTGTTTGCACTGCCCTGACCAGCCTTCCTTCTGGTAACTCATTTGTCCTGTTCCAAATGACTTAATAGATATGCTTCCTCTTTATCTGTCTCTTCATCCTAAAAACAACATCCCTCTCCTTCCTCCTTCAAATACAGTCTCTACCCTGGAATTTGTAGGAATCTTCTTCTTGCTCTTCTTTATGGTCTTACCACATACACCCCTAAACAATAGACTGTTCAAATGCACATGTTTGATCTCTGTTCATCTGCCAGGGCTGCCTTAACAAAATACCACCAGCTGCATGGCTGAAACAACAGAAATTCATTTTCTCACAGTTCTAGAGGCGGGAGGTCCAAGATCAAGGTGCCATCACATGAAAGGTCTCCTCCTGGCTTGTAGAGGGCCACGTTCTCTCTGTGTCCTCACATGGCTTTTCCTCTATGTACATGCACTCCCGGTGTCTCTTTCTCTTCTTACAAGGACCCGTCAGATTAGGGCCCCACCCTTATGGCCTCATTTAACCTGAACTGTCTCTTTATTTATTTATTTATTTATTTTTAAAAGATTTTATTTATTTATTTGACAGAGAGCGACACAGTGAGAGAGGGAACACAAGCAGGGGGAGAGGGAGAGGGAGAAGCAGGCTTACCGCTGAGCAGGGAGCCCAATGCGGGCCTCGATCCCAGGACCCTGGGATCATGACCTGAGCCGAAGGCAGACGCTGAACGACTGAGCCACCCAGGCACCCCTGAACTGTCTCTTTAAAGGCCATATCTACAAATATAGTCACATTGTGGTTTGGGGCTTCAATGTATGACAGGTGGGGAAGGAGCACAATTCAGTCTGTTACCCTGAATAAATGCATGTTCCTTGGATTCTGGATTCAATGACAATTTGCTTCTTTGCCCTTGACATCACCCAAGGGATTCTCATAACTGTCTATAGCTGTCATTACTCTTCTGGAATTTCTTACTGCACAGACTAGAACTTCCAGGAGAATATCAGAGTAGCAGATTCAGTGTTGGTGTCTTGTTCTTGCTTGAACCAGATGCACTAATGTCTTGTATTCAGCACAATATAAGCCAGTTTCTTTGTATATACCTTCCCCTGCCTGCCGGGATGCTGCTCTCTGTGATGTGCTGTGCATGGCATTCCCACTGCCTAACACTGCCTCTTGTAATGTCTCAGGACCCAGTGACATTCCAGGACGTGGCTGTAGAGTTCACCCAGGAAGAGTGGGAGCACCTGGGTACTGCTCAGAGGGCACTGTACCGAGAGGTCATGCTGGAGAACTACAGGAGCCTGGCCTCCTTGGGTAAGAGTCACCCTGGGTCCACCATGGCAGCACCCTGGGAGGGGCGGGGGATACAGGTGCCATCTGCTCAGGTTCTACTTAGCTGATGGGAAGAGGGGAGATGTTAAGTAATTTAACTTAGCAAGTGATTATTTTTATATTAAATAAACAGATATAATAGATTATAATGAAAATATGCATGATTTTAAAAGATGCAACAGAGACTGGGAAGGGGTTTTAGACTCTGAGAGGCACAGTCCACTAACAGTCCTTGAAGGCCTGTGTGTACCTACCCTGCCAATATGAGTTGGTGAATGAGGAGTTTGCTTTCTCTTCTCTACCCAAACAGTGAGTCCCAAGGCCCTGAAGTCTCTAGCCCATGGGGCCATATTTTGATGTTCAGAGGACACAGACTCAGGGTGTTTCCACTGCTTATCCTCTGCGTGGTAGGGAGCAGGAGGCTGAGGCTACTGCCACCCCCACCCCAGGGTCACCCATCATTCATGCTGCAAAGGTCCTGGAGACAGGGATATAGGGGCAAAGCCCTGGGCACATGCATGTCACTGTCCCAACATTTGCATCTCTTGTCTTTTCTGAGCAGGGTGCCAGGATTTCAAGCCTGATGTGATCTCCCGGCTGGAGCAAGGTGGACTGGCATGGATGGCATGGAGGGACATCCCTAGGGGCCCCTCTCCAGGTGAAGAGATGGGAAGGAGGCCTGGGAGCTCATGCACAAGGCTGTCTAGGAATCCAGTAGTTTCTAGAAGCACAGGCCATAGGAGAAATCCCAAGGGAAATCAGGACTGCCTCGAGAATAATCCCTGCACAGAAACTCCTGTTCCTCTCCTGCCTGAGTCCTGCCCCTGCAAGGAATGTACTGCCCACCTGGGCCCCTCCCCACCCCCTCAATACTGTACTGGCTTTCTTCTTCCCTCCTCTCCGGTGTGTCCCTTCCCCCGTGCTGCCAGGCATTCTGCCCTCTCTAGAGAAGCCCCTCAGTGGGCAAGGATGCCACTTTCACCTCCCTCTCTTTCCTGTTGTCTGTTTGATCACCATTCCTTCCCTCTGAATCTACCTTGACTGTTAGGTAAGTCTACTAGGAATGGTCCAGTAACCACGTCCACTCTCTGCCAGCATCCACAGCGTGGATTTCTGCTTCCTGCTGCATTCAGCCTCAGCAGAACTTTCCATAATCACTCTCCACCTCACTCAACTCCTCTGTTTCTTGTTTTCTCACACCCCCTCAAATGTATTGGATTCCTCATGAGTCCTTTATGCCCACTTGCTAACTCTGACCCCCCTACTCAAGTCAACAGTGACCATGCATTGCCTCTGATAGCAGCAGGAAAATGGGTGGTATGGGGCCATCCTTACAGACCTGGTGAATTGGTGTTTCAGGGAAGTTAACTGTGGCAGCTTACAACATGGGCAAATAGGGAGAAGAGGTTGGAGGCTGAGAGATTAGTGGTGATATTTCACAGTGCCCCAGGCACACAGTGACATTGGGTTATACCCTGATCTGCTTTTCTTCTGCTGGTCTTTATTCCAGTGATTCCCCTCATTACTGCCCCCTTGTCCATTCTCAGTCCCCGTTTTTACCCTTCAGTCATTCCAGAAAGTCAGTTCTTATTTGTGTCACTTAGCAGCACCCCTCTAACCACTTGTGTGTCCCTTTCTTCCTTGCTGCTGTGCACAGTGGCTCTTGGCTTCCATGACATTTGAAATCAGTCAAAGCACTGTACCTCTGTTTGGGGAATCAAAGAATAAAAGTCATAGGAACATACTATATGTAGCTTCAACTAGCTCACACTTTTTGTCTCTCTAAATGGTCAAATATCCTCCATTTTCTATTTCTTTCAGACCAAGAGACAAGATCTAGAATTGCAAAGTCAAATCTGAAGCAAGTAATTTCTGAAGAATTTTCCCAGGGTATGATAATCAACAAAGGTAAAAGGAATGGAATCTGTTACTCCACCAGAGAAGTCCCAGAATATCTTAGCTGTTTAGAGAGCCATCCAGGGCAGATGGCATTTACCCATAAGAAAATCCTGACTCAGGAGAACATTCATGAAGATAATGGATTTGAGTTTAAACAGCAATCAAACTTTGTTACTCAAAGCACAAGTCCTTCAGGGAAAACAATGTGTAAAGATGACTGTTACAGCAGGAGCTTTTCATATAACCTAGATCTAAGTAATCATCAGAGAATCTACACAAGTGAAAAGCCATACAAATGTGATCAATGTGGGAAATACTTTGGCTGTGGTTTGGATCTCACTCAACACCAGAGTACTCATACTGGAGTTAACCCATACCTTATTAAATATCAGAAATTTGGTGCTAGAGAAAAGCCCTTCAAATGCAGAAATTGTGGCAAATCTTTCAGCAGGGGGACACACCTTATACAACATGAAAGATGTCACACTGGGGAGCGACCATTTGCGTGTAATGTATGTGGGAAGTCGTTCAGCTGGGACTCATCCCTTATTCTACATCAGAGAACTCATACTGGAGAAAAACGCTATGAGTGCAGTGAATGTGGGAAGGCCTTCAGCCAAAGCACCTGCCTCACACAACATCAGAGGATTCATACAGGTGAGAAACCTTATGAATGTAATCAGTGTGGGAAAGCCTTTAGCCAAAGTTCACATCTAACTCTGCATCAGAAAACTCATACTGGGCAGAAACCCTATGAATGTAATCAGTGTAGCAAAGCCTTTATTCAGAGCATTCAGCTAACTCTGCATCTAAGAACTCATTCTGGAGAAAAACCTTTTGAATGTACCGAATGCGGTAAAACCTATAGTCATAGCTCATCCCTAATGCAACACAAGAGGATTCATACTGGAGAAAAACCCTTTGAATGTAAAGAATGTGGGAAAGCCTTTACCCAGAGCATTCAGCTTACTTTACATCTGAGAACACATACTGGAGAGAAACCCTATGAATGTACCGAATGTGGCAAAGCCTATAGTCATAGGTCATCCCTTATTCAACATAAGAGGATCCATACTGGAGAAAAACCCTTTGAATGTAATGAATGTGGGAAAGCTTTCCGATGGAACACACATCTTACTCAACACCAGAGAATTCATACTGGAGAGAAACCTTACAAATGCAAAAAGTGTGACAAATCTTTCAGCAGAAGTACACACCTTAATCAACATCAGAGAATTCATACTGAAGAGAAACCCTACAAGTGTAACGAGTGTGGGAAAACCTTTGGTCACAGTGCATATCTGACTCAACACCAGAGGATACATACTGGAGAAAAACCCTATCAGTGTGAGGAATGTGGAAAGGCCTTCACTGTAAATGCATACCTTGCTCAACATCAAAGGATTCATAAGAGAAAGAAACCTTTATTATGTGCCAGTCACAAAGAAATTCTGACTGGAAAGAAATCCAACAAATGGATCTAATGTGGGAAATATTTCAGCATAAACACAGGCTTTCCTCAACATGAATAAATTAATAAAAGAACTCCTATAAATATAATGGTGGAAAATATTTCACTTCTAGCATGCCATGAATGCTAGAATACTAATATGCTCATCATAAAGAAAACTAAAAAGGTGGAAAATGTGTGAAATGTTTTAATGTAATATGACCTCTTACTGTAAGTTAAAGGAAATATACTGAGGGGAACATCATAAATAACGTCTTTAAAACCACAAAGTCGCACATGAAAGTTAAATCTTTTTATCTATCGTGCTGAATTTCTAGAAAAGGTGTAGGAGTAATGTGTCTTGAATCTATAAATGATGTTCTATATAAGGAGGCTCACACTTCAAATCTGATGTCTCACTTTATATATACAGAGCTTTAAATACCGTAGATCAAGGGACAGCAAACTGTGGCCCACGGGACAAATCCAGCCTGCACCTGTTGTTACAAATAAAATCTTATTGGAACACAGTCACATCTATTTGTTTGTATAAACAACTGAAATTTATTGTCTCACAATTTGGGAGGCTGATGTCCAAGATCAAGGTGCTGGCAGGTTTAGTTTCTTCTGAGTCTCCTCTCCTTGGCTTCTTGCTGTGTTCTTACATGACCTTTCCTCTGTGCACTCATCCTTGGTGTCTCTTCCTCTTCTTATAAAGACACCAGTCATTTCGGATTATGGTCCCATCTTTATGACCTCATTTGACTATAATCACCTCTTTAAAGGCCCTGTCTTTAGTCACATCGAGGTTCAGGGATTTGTTTTAATTTGTTCAGGTTGCTGCAGCAGATATTCTGTAGGCTGGGTGGCTCATAAACAACAGAAATTTATTTCTCAGTTCTGGAGGCTGAAAAGTCTAAGATCAAAGTGTTGGCAGATTCAGTGTTTGGTGAGAGCCCACTTCCAAGTTCATAGATGGCCATCTTTTTTTGGGCCCTCACATGGTGGGGAAGGTGAGGAATCTTTCTGGGGTCTCTTTTATAAGGGTACTAATCCTATTCATGAGGGCTTTGCCTTTATGACCTAATCACCTCTCAAATCACCCCCCCCCCACTTCCTAGTACCATTACTTTTGAGGTCAAGATTTCAACATGAATTTTGGTAGGGACACAAATCTGATATCATACACATACATGCTTGTGTATGAAGACATACCAGGCTTCTACATATGTATTTGGAGGGAACACAACTCAGTCCATAACAAGCCTGTGAAGCCTAAAATACTCTCTAGCCCTTTACAGAATGAATTTCCTGAACTTGAGGGTATAGATAACCAAGTATAATATGTCAACATTCTACACTGGAAACAGATTTCTAAAAAAAAAAAAAAAAAGTAAATTAAGGCAACATAATAGTCATAAATTGTACCATACAGAGAACCTACCTGTTTTGTAATTATTGAATTATTTTGCAAATATTAGAGAAGGGCTATTTTTTTTCTGGAAAATAGAAGACAGAGGTGTTTCTTTGAATTCTGTGACTTCTCTGATTCATAGTTTTTGTAGCAAACACTGTTCAGATCACCTCCTATTTATTCCTCTGGTGAGGGTGGGATCCTCCACCCTACATAACACAAGGTAGCTAAATGCATGACACCTGACACTGGCCTGATGAGTGACAGAAGTTTATTAGTCACATATGATCCCAGCCCAGGGAAGGACACTGCACACCACACCACAGAAACACCCCATGTGGGTTGCACTCAGGAGCAGAGCGAACCAATAGGAGCAATGGGAAGAAGGTTTGTAGTAGTAAGAGAGTGAGGTATTCCCTGTTTTCCACCAGAGAATGTGATTGGCTTGTGTGAATAATTCATGGGCTAGGAGGGTGAGGTTGGAACACTGGGCTGGGTGATAGGGAAACTACCTGGATTAGGAGCCTTTCCTATTGGGCAGTGGGCATATTGGCAAGAGCAAGGTAATCCACAGTTAGGTGTTGGAGGCCCTAAAGGCTCAAAGATGTCCAGGCAATGGTGAAATTTCAATTTTTACACATAGCATTAGAAACCAGGTCTGTTTGGGGAAGTTTGCAGTCTTCTGCTACCAATCTAATTTGCCTTACTAGGAGCAAACCCTCATGACACCAACTTTTTTCACATAACTTTTTCAACTTTATACTTCTTCCAAATGATCCCAACTTTCTTTGGTCCTTTGCTTTCCTGAAAGTTAAAATTTTAGAGTGAGCTTGTCCATTTCTGTCCATATAAACTGTATTATTTTGTCAAATGCATTTTCTGTATCTATTGAGGATACTTTTTTTCTCCTTTACTATTTAATTGGGCTAATTACACTGATTGATTTTGAAATATTAAACCAACTTTTCATTCCTTGAATAAACTCCACTTGATTGTGATATCCTTTCTAACGTATTGCTGGATTGGATTTGCTATTTTAAGACTTTCACTTCTGTGTTTTTGCACTGTTGTTCTGTAGTTTTCTTTCCTTGTAATGTCCTTGTCAGGTTTTGGCATTAGGATTATTTAAGCCTCTGAAAATGACCTAGGAAGTGTTCTCTCCCCTTTTATTTTATAAAACATTTTCTGAAAAACGGGTCTAATTTCTTCCTTAAACATTTAGTGGAATTCACCACTTGAGTCTGAAATTTTATTTCTAAGGAAGTTTTAAATTACAGTTTTAGAGGGTTTTTGTTTTTGTTTTTAGTTATAGGGCTATTCATATTTTTTTTCTTTGTCAGATTTTGCAAATTCCATTTTTCAAGGAATTGTCAATTTTATCTAAGTTGTCAAATTTTTGGCAATTTGTTGCTAAATTTGTTAATACCACTCCCTTATCCTTTTAATGCCAAGAGTATAGGTATCTCTCCTCTTTCACTCTTTCTTTATATTGTGTTTTCTCTCTTTCTTGATCAGTTTTACAGGGGTTTATCAGTTCTAATCATCTTTTCAAATATTCCACTTTGGCTTTGTTGGTTTTCATTATTCATCTGTTTTGTATTTCATTGATTTCTGCTCTTAGGTTTTTTTTTTCTTTCTTTCTTTGGGTTCTTTGTTGTTGTTGTTGTTGTTATTTTTAGTTACTAGCTTAAATTATATTTTGTTTGAAGATTTTATTCATTTATTTATTTGAGAGAGAGAGCAAGTGCATGTGTGCATGTGTGCATGTGTGCATGTAGGGGGATGGGCAGAGGGGGAGGGAGAAGGACAAGCAGACTCCATGCTGAGCGCAGAGCCCAAAATGGGGCTCAATCTCATGACCCTGAAATCATGACCTGAGCCAAAATCAAAAGTCAGATGCTTAACCTATTGAGCCACCCAGGCAATCCTTAAATTATGTTTCTTAACCATTTTTTTCTTTTCTAATATATGAGTTTCCTCTAAGTACAACTTTAGCAGCGTCTCATGAATTTTGAAATGTATTTTTATTATAATTTATTTTAAAACATTTTATTTCCCTTGTGATTTCTTCTTTGCTAGGTGGTTATTTAATTTCTAAGTATTTGGGGATACTTTATATATTTTTTGCTTTTGATATCTATTTTAATTCCATGGTGATCGAAGAACAGACTCTGTATGACTTCAATTATTTTGAGATTATTAAACTTGTCTAACAGGAAAGCATTAGTCTCTCTTTTTCTTTTTAAGATTTTATTTGTCAGAGAGAGAGAGAGAGAGAGAAAGCACACAAGCAGGGGGAGTGGCAGGCAGAGGGAGAAGCAGACCCCCCCTCCCCCCCGCTGAGCAAGGAGCCCCATGCAGGACTCAATCCCAGGACCCTGGGATCATGACCTGAGCCGAAGGCAGCCGCTTAACTGGCTGAGCCACCCAGGCATCCCAAGCATTAATCTATCTTGATGTATGTTCCATATTAATTTGAAAGGAATGTGTATCCTGCCATTGTTGGGGATGGTGCTCTATACATGTCAATTAGGTCAAGTTGATTAACAGTATTGTTTAATTCTCTGAATTGTTACATTTTTGGCCCACCTGTTTTATCAGTTACTAAGAGAATTGTTCAAATCTCCTTGAAATGTTTGCAGGCTTGTCTATTTCTTCTTTTATGTCAATTTTTATTTAATGTATTTTGAAACTATATTATTAGGTATATAAACATTTAGGATTATGTCTTCAGGAAGAACTCACTTTCTTATCATCATTGAATGTCCTTCTTAATATCTGGTAATATTCTGGGGCGCCTAGGTGGCTCAGTGGTTAAGCGTCTGCCTTCTGCTCAGGTCGTCGTCCCAGGGTCCTGGGATTGAGCCCCACGTCGGGCTCCCCCCTCGGCGGGAAGCTTGCTTCTCCCTCTCTGGCTCCCCACTCGGCGGGAAGCTTGCTTCTCCCTCTCCCACACCCCCTGCTTGTGTTCCCTCTCTGGCTCCCCACTCGGCGGGAAGCTTGCTTCTCCCTCTCCCACTCCCCCTGCTTGTGTTCCCTCTCTTGCTGTGTTTCTCTCGGTCAAATAAATAAAATCTTTTTTTAAAAAAATATCTGGTAATATTCCTTATCTTTAGGTCTACGTTGTCTGATATCGGTAGCCACTCCAGCTTTCTTGTGGTGATTGTTTCACAAGATATCTTTTTTTCATCTTTTTCCTTTCTATTTCTCTGTGCCTTTATAACTAGGGGGTATCTTTTATAAAGAGCATATAGTTGTATCTTTTTCTTTTTTTAATGCAGTATGACAATCTCTGCATTTTTTAAAAGATTTTATTTTTAAGTAATCTCTACACTCAACATGGGGCTCAAACCCACAACCCCAAGATCGAGTTCCACACTCCACTGACCGAGCCAGCCAGGCATATCTGCCTTTTATTTATTTTATTTTATTTTAATAATTTTAAAAAAGATTTTATTTGTCCCATCGCCGCCTGCCTGCCCGCCGCCTGCCTGCCGCTCCACCGCCGCTGTGACCCTCTGACGTCACTGTCGCCGCCGGAGGTAATCACTGTGCCGGTGCACTAAGAACTGTAGGTGGCGGGGCGTGATCCTGAGGCCTCTCTTCCGCGTGTAGGTCCC